GCGGTAGAGAATGGACAGGCAGCCTTAGAAATGTTGCAGGAGGAAAGATCAGAAAAGGCCATGTCGGCTAAAGCAGCATCTACCAGAAGTAAAACAAAAAAGGGGGAAGAAAAAACAAGGTTATATCTTGACCTTTCGGACCTAGAGCGTTCCGAGTCCCCTATCTCTTCCCCTGATTCTGATGATGTAGAGTCATTATGTGAAACCTTGCAGAGCGTGAGAGTAAGAAAGAAAAGGGGCAGAAATAAAGGAGAAAGAGAAAGAATTAAAGGATGTGAGTCTGAGTGTGGAGCCTCTCCCTCAGCTCCTCCACCATATCTGGAATCTGCCTCCATGTCTAGAGTTGTCTCTATGGGGAATTCTTTTAACCCGGAGGTTTGGAGACAGGTTAGAACTGAAATGCAGCTAGCTTGCCCAGTGTTTCTCAATGCCCAGACTCAACAGAGATACCACGAACCTTTGGATTTTAAGGTCATCAAGTCTCTAGCAGAATCTGTCCGGACTTATGGCATCACAGCCTCATATACTGTTGCTCAAGTGGAGGCTCTGCACAGAGTTTGCATGACTCCATCCGATTGGATGAATCTTGCTCAAGCATGTCTCAGCGCAGGGCAGTATTTAGACTGGAAGGCATTTTTGATAGAATTTGTCAGTGAACAAGCTGCGATTAACAGGGCTGCAGGTGGAGGTCAAGCAGCTTGGGATGTAGACATGCTGCTGGGACAAGGCCGATTTGCCAATCAACAAAACGGATATCCACAGCAGGTTTATGACCAGATAAATCAACTAGCAACAAGGGCATGGAAGTCCCTACCTAATAAAGGGGAAGTGAGTGGCAACCTTACTAAGATCCTTCAGGGACCTATGGAACCTTTTTCAGATTTTGTGGCCCGCATGGTCGAGGCTGCAGGCAGAATCTTTGGGGACCCAGATGCCGCAATGCTGCTTATAAAGCAGCTAGTTTATGAACAATGTACCAAAGAATGCAAGGCTGTGATCACCCCTTATAAGAACAAAGGTCTAGAAGTATGGATGAAAGTGTGCAGAGAATTAGGGGGACCTCTAACGCAGGCCTTGCGGCTGCAGTTATGCAACTTAGTAACAAGAAAGGAGGGAACACTGGGGCATGTTTTCGGTGTGGAAAAATGGGCCATCTCAAACGTAGCTGCCCTCAAGGAGAAGGTAACCAAGGATGCTTTGAAATATCTTGAATGTGCAGGACTGATTAAACCCTCTAGTTCTGTGAGCTCCTTATTTCAGCAACGATTGGTGCGACGGGCCCCTCAGACAGGGAGACGTGATGACACCCCGGAAGCTGATGTGCCTGATCCTGATAGCCCTGATTCTGACAAGCGTGCCAGCGGGAGCAGCTGAGGATCAACTTACGAGCAGAACCTGGTCGGTGGAGTTTGATAACCTGACCCAGATCCTGTGCAATGAGATCGTTGCGGTCAACTCCACCCGTGTGCACCTGGCCTCTGCTGTGGAAATGATGTCTTGGCTGCAAAATTCTATCACCCTTTTAAAGGAGTGGGCGGGATTAGGTGCCCTGGCAGGCCTACTGGTACTTGTCTCCCTGATGTGCCTGTGGTGCATTGTTCGTTTAAGGGTTTCTCAGCAGCGCAATGCAGCCATGATTATCCAAGCCTTTACAGCCATAGAGGCTGGACAGTCTCCCCAGGCCTGGCTGGCCGCATTAAAAGCTTGATCGTGCAGGATGCGAGGCTAGTGCACTGCACTTGGGTCTAGCTGTATTGCAAAACCCAAGAAGAGCAAGTCTAATTCCATGTGGGTTGATACCCTAATTCCCACCTCTGCAAAAAAGGGTATCGGACGGGTCAAGTGTTCTCTGGGTGGATGACACCTGGACTAACACCAGTACAATGTCCAAGTTGTTTTTTGGCAGAGATTAGACCTCTGCTCTTGCCTGCTGCTTAAAACAATAAAGGGGGAACTGTAGAGAGCCGTGCACGGCCGCGCCTCAAAGATGGCGCAGGTGTCCGGCTTCCGCCTTCCCGATGGCAGGTGTTCTCTGGGATAAACAACTCCTTATTTGGCTTGGGCGTGGAATCTGGCTTGCTTGCATATGTCTGACCCTATCGGCATTGTCCACGTGGCACTACGGGGTTGGTTGCCCAGTGGCTATAAAGGGCGTGGGCTGGCTTTCCCGGGAGTGAGAAGATGGCTTTCCCCGGGGTCAGAAGATTGTTCAAGGTTCCTGAATAAACTGCTTGGAGAAGAGCCTGGTGTTGCGTCTTCCTTGCTGGTCGAGGCGGACGCGACACTGAACCAGACACTGCAATTGAATTATTTGCTAAAGGCAGCAATTACAGAAGTTGAAAGCAACTTTCTAAAATCTACCTTAAAAGTTGTGAAAACAGCACTTATGGATATTGGTTGATAAACATTGATGGTCATTGTTTGGGTCAGTTGAGCTAGTTAGTGACTTAGCCCTTTGTAAAACCCTGTTAAAGATGTCTGTAAAGTATCCCATTCATTTCCCATGTGATGTTTTCTGTGCTGCTCAATGTTACAGGAATTTTGGCTATGTTGTGGTCTGACGTCCAATGGAATAGAGCATTTGGTTAGAGAAGCGGGGTTCACATTCAGCTGGCTGGAATGGATCATGGAGTTCCCTGGTGGATTCGCACTTGAGGAAAGAAAGGAAGGCCCTTGGAAGAGGATGAAGCCTAGGGGTGGTGTGGCCTTTTCAAGCCGGGAAGTGAACCGTGGCTGTGTGTTGTGGTCATTTGCGATTATCTCAAGCTTTTATCTTTAATATTTGCCCCCGAGTTTTATTTTATAATAAAAGAAATCACATTAGTTCAATACAGAGTAAAGCCCTTTGTGAGGGACAGACAGTCACACAACACAGACACAGACAAATTACACACAAGATAGACACACTCAGAACAGACACAGGGTCAAACAGATTCACAGACAGCCTGCAGGCAGGCACAGATTCAGACTCATGCAACAGACAGACAGATGACAGAATACACAGGGAGCACGAAGGAAGTAGAAAATGCAAATCTGGACTCGATCTTGGCTAAATGGCGCTAAGGGGAAGTGCTTTTCTTTCTTTAACATGCCATTGATGCATTATTGGTAATCCTATAGTCGCTAATAGGTATAATCCATGCACCAGGTGAAGCCACGTTTTGCCTTGGTTTTATGACCAATTTTCCAAAGTTTCTTTATAAGAGTTCCAGGATTCAGCAATTATCCATAGTGTGGGCTCCTAAGCTCTATGAATGTTTTCAGAGGAGCTGGCCTGGTGTGGGCCGGAAGCAACAGCCTTCTCGTGACCAGCAGCTTGAACAGGCCTTCCAGTGTATGCACCCTGGATTGTCTTTCTCTATGGCCTCAAGCCCAGGCTTCAAGTCAACACTCCAGCACTTGCCCAAACCCTGATCTAATATAGATAGGACCAGCCTGAGTAGCCCTGTGATCTGGTTGTAAGTATGGACTAGCTTCCTATAACCTCTCACTGAACTGCCTCTTGGAAAAGGCTGTATTAACCAAACGGCCCTCCACAGGAGGGAGTCAACTATATGGTGTATAAACCAGTCTTTCACACTGTACCTAAATTTTAAGCCTTTAAATTGGCTTCCCAGAGTACCATATAAAAGAGTTTACTGTTAGTTGGGTAAATAGCCTTCCAATAGTTAGGTATAGATGGGCTAACGATGGAATTTGCCATCTAAACTAGGATGCTATACATTTAGGTGCCTAGACAAAATCTGGGATTATTCCTGGTAAAATGACACCTTAATTATCGAAACACAGGCTACATGTACTAGTCTTAATAGCCTCATATGCTCACATTACAAGTTTCTCTTCCCCAAATGCAACAGGTATCGGCCTTAAAGATGTCTTGCTGGACACAGAAGGCTTTTTGCTTTTGTTTTGGAAGGTAGTAGGGGCTCTCAATGTGTAGTCTGACGAACATGTGTCCTTGCTTGCAAAGCGGCCCTCAGGTGCTCCATGCCCACCTATCAGGACAAGGCACTGCTTTCGGATAAAGGACAGCTACAGGCTTCACAAAACAACTTTTCTCTGTAGCCCTAATTCTAAAAGGTCTTTAAATAAAGGCTTGTTTGTTGGTGTACAAAACTACCCTTTTTGGGAAAGGATGTCCGTCAAAGGATGCAGGACCTAACTTGAGTGGTTCTGTCTGGCTTTTGTAAGTGAACCAACCTAGCAGGAGCTAAGGCCTCCTGCAGCTCACATCAGAAACAAAAGAGGCAAGTATAGGCTGGATGCACTTTTTTAGGACGCATTACTGAAACCGGTCTTGGTTGCTGTGAGAACACAGGCCAAGCGGGTTGCGGGAGGCCTCAGCGTTAACAAACTTCCAGGAAAGCACGTGCAAACCTTCACTCAAACTACCGGCAAACCCAGCTGCCCACGCCCCTCTCTGCTTAGTCTGAAGGACTGGCTAAGTGTGTCTAGGCAGAAGACGCCCTGACTCCCAGGAAGTCTCTGGTCGGCTGCGCGGGCTTCTGTCCACTTTCGGGGGACAAGAGGGTTTGGGCGGGTTCCAGGGTGGAGGTTGGAGACAGGCCCTTTTCCAGCGGTGGCCAAAGGCACACTTTCCTGACAGACAGCACAGCAATGTCGGGTGGGTCCATCCGGCCACTTGGCCTGTCTCCACAGTTGAAACATTAACCGAAGCCATGCAGGGAAGAGAAAGGTGTGTGCGGAGGGAAACACGACAACCGCTGCAGACGCACGGCAGTCCGGTCGCCAAAGCAGTTTCACGCATGCGCTATTTGCCACCCCTAGAAACTTACGTCATGCGCGGGCACTTTCCCCAATCTACAAAGGAAGCAGCTTCTAGAGCGGCTCCCAGGCCTCCCAAGGCGCCTGCGCGAAGCCGTCCCTTCGCTCGCCCGCTCTGCGGCTTTAGCGTGGCGCCTGCGCAATTTGTCCCTCACGGCCCGCGCTGCGTGTGTGAGCAGCCCGAGGTGCCTGCGCGCTGCGGATCCTCAACTAACCTCTCTGACGCCTGGACGGGGCTGTGTTTCTCATCGCTGGCGTCGACTGGTTCCGCCGAGGCGAAGATTCCACGGCTGGCCTTCTCGTCCTCACGACCTACACCGGGGAGCATCGATTGCTCCCGACTCGGCTAATCGCGACGAGAGCCTAGAGGAGCGCCGAGCGATCGATGCCCAGCCCCGCCCTCTTCGGGTCAAAGGCTGTGGCGGCTTGAGCTTTTTTTTTTTTCCCCCCGCAGGGTCGTATCTTGCAAAACAGTTTCTCACCCACGGTTTTACCTAATCCTTCCAACTCAGATGATTAGCTCTCCCTATTATACAGAGTAGGAAACCGAGGTGGAAGAAAACTGACCACAAAGTTTTGGAGATCACATGTATAATTTAAACCCACAAGTACGGCATCCAGGGCTGGTCGGGTGAGGCGGCCTTGATGCCTGTGCAGAGACAGGCAGGTGCAGAGCGGTGTGGGTGTCACCGCGAGTTTTGTGTTTTGAGCATTCTCTCCCGGTGGATTCCAGAGGTGCTGGATGCCTTGTAAAGATCTGCTAGCCTTGGGTTTGGGGTGTGACTGGAAATCCATTTACTGCTCAGCAGGGATGAGTCGGTGCGGCACTCCTCGGTTTCCATCCTCTGAACAATCCTGCTAAGTAGAGATGAGGAAGGGAGTGGGAGTTTTTGCTCAAGGCCAGTGCAACAGATCATCGTAAGTCAAAAGGTCTTAATCTGGTTCCTTTTCTGTGCCAGTTAAAGAGTTAAAAGGCAGAAGAAAAAAATCTCGAGCTCAACAGGTAGCAGCAGGCACACAGAGAAAAAGACCCTCTGCAAAGCAGATGGGGTGGGAAGCCGAAACTTCCAGTCTCTCCTCGAGGGCTGGGTTTTTTAAGTCTTTTCCTTCCCTAACTTAGGGTTGGTGAGTTTAAAGGAAGGATGTTTGATTGTTCTGCAATTGTTGTGTGATAAGTCCTGATCTGGCCTTAAACTTGAGCCAGTGGATCAGCAGAGTCCTGCCAGTGGGAGACAAAGCCTACAAGGCCTTTGTTTTAATCTGCCAGCTTTTGTCTCAAGTCAGAAGGGTGAGGAAGAAGTCGGCCATCTTGGAAATGCCACACCTTAGTAAGTAGCCATGGCTCCTCTCTATATCTGTGTCTCTACCAGGAAGTCTAACTCCTCTCAGTAGGGCCTTTGAAAACTTTAAAAGCATAGCTAGCTGTTGCTGTTATCACTGCCCTCAGCTATGAAAGGAAGAAATAAAGAACAAAAAGCTGTCATAACCACTAGGCTCACACGCTGGTACCTGAACCTGCTTACCTTCACCATGTAGTGAGTGCTGAATTTTACCAAGCACAGTAACCTTGGAAAACAGTGAAGAAACGAATCTTATCATCCCTATGTATTGCAGCAAACAACTTACTGGAGAAAAACATCCTTCCCATAGCACTCCAGGATGCTCCTTCATTCCCTGCAATGGGCCAGACAACCCCTTCAAAGTTCCATGCTGCGTTTACTAAGAGATTAGCCAAACCTCTTGTCTCCACTTATTCACAAAATGCTGGAGACACAAATTAGGCCCCTGGATGTTAGTTCCCATATAGATGCACACAGGGTGACTCCAGGGTGCAGTAACTCTGACCTGCTATGCTGGCATGCCACCCTCTTTATTTCACTCTCTGAATTTTCTAGTTTTGGATTTCTTCTCTGTGAAAGAAAAATTCAAACTGGGAAGATGATCAGTCAGTACTCTGCAAGTATGAGGTCCTGAGTGTAAATCCTCAGTACCCAAGTGCAGGAGCAAGTACCTTACAATTCCAGAATTGGGGAGGCAAAAACAGGAGGATCCCCCAGCTTGCTGTCCTGTCAGTCCAGCAGAATCAGTGAGGTCCAGGATCAGTGAGAGAGGCTATCTCAAAAATAAGGTGGAGATCAATTTGGGAAGATACCCAACATTGACCTGAATTCTATGTTCTCCCCCGACTCCTTTCTCTCTGCTCTTTTTGTCTAACCTTCAGGGCACTTGCAGACCTTCTGGCCACAGCTCTCTTACTGCAATAGTTGAATGAAAAAAAGAAATTAAAAAGGAAAGAAAAGGAGATGACTGCTCCTAGGTATGGTGGAGGAGAAAGTTTAATATAGGTAAAAGGGAGACATAGCCAGAGGCAGAGACATCTGGGAGAGTCCCTGAGCCCTGTGAGGAGAGGGGGGAAGGGAAGGAAGAGGGGAGAGAGGGGAACTAGGTGCAGCAGCTAGGAGGCCAAAGCTACAAAAGGGTGGGTAACTGTTGTGTGATATTTTTATTGTGTTTTGACAAACAACGCTTGCTTGGAGTCAGAGGGTGGAGCTAGCCAGTAGCTAACCATAGAGGTTTGGAGGACTGTAGAGAAAGGGTCAGGAAGTGCTAAGGTGGGGCTGAGACAGAATCTCGGCCCTTTTGGTGGGAGGAACAAAAGAGGTAGGAAGTCACTGGTGGCTGCTCCCCTGCTTCTCTGTTCTTTCAGGTTTTTACCCCAATATCTGACTCCTGGTTTTTATTGATAAGACTAATTAGATTTATGTATCATCTGGCACCCCATGTTGGGCACCATATGTAAACAGAGGCGTAGTTTTTCTGTCCTGACTGCCCTGTCCGAAATAAACACACAAAAGCTTATATTAATTACAAAATGCTTGGCCAATAGCTCAGGCTTGTTATTAGCTAACTCTTACATTTAAATTAGCCCATATTTCTATTTATGCTTTGCCATATGTTGGTACCTTTATTAGCATGGCACATTCATCTCTTGCTCCTTCTGCAACTGGCTGGCGATTCCTCAGACTGCCCTTCCTCATCCCATCATTCTCAGTGTGGCTTTCCCACCTCACTTTATCCTGTTCAGCTGTTGGCCAGTCATCTTGTTTACTAAACCAACCATAGTGACATATATTCACACAGTGTACAGAAGGATTCTTCCACAACAGGTAACCAAAATGACTGGACAATATAGAGAAGAGCCTCTGGAAGGAGGGCAGCCCGGCCCCTGGTCCAGAGAGTTCAGGGTAAGAGGGTGGGTTTGCCAGCCATACCCTGAAACAGGTAGGGACTAAGGGGTACTGGGAGAACCTGGAGGCCAGGACTGCTTTGATATGTTAAATAGACACCTCAACTGTTTGTCCTGGGTTTGAAACTTAACAACAGTAAGCCGTGGTCTCTTTCTTCCTTTTGAATATCTTTAAAATAAAAAACAGAACCTCTCTTTACTAGGTCTGAATTTGGTCTTTATCTGACAGTGGTTAGTGGGTGAGAGGCTGCTACAGAGATACTGTGGTTGAGTGGACGTTAGATTCTGAGTTGTCCAGACAGATCCCACAGCAATCACCAAAGGAGACTTGAACCCAGAACCTGCAGTTCCCAAAGCCCACTCGTACAGTGTTCCAGAACAGGATTCTGGCAGCAGTATGTGGCATGGAGTGCAGCCAGCCAGAGAGACAAACACTCCTTTGTCAGCTTGATTATGGTTTTTGTTTAGTGCTGGAGATAAAACTCAGGGTCTCACATGTACTCACACACGCTCCCACTGAACTACACCGCCAGCCTCATTTGTGTATTCAAAACTGACTTGTGATGAATTATAGGCATAAAGGAAATGTTTTCTTAAAAGAAAAAATTTCATCACTGTAGGGGTTTTTACTTCCTGTCATCTCTTTATCACAGCACCCCCCCCCCTCCATTCCCAGCAGCTTTGGAATTGGCCATTAAGCTGGCAGACCCATTTGAGAGCCATGAAAGGCACCAAACAAACAAAAGGAATCATTAATGCCCATATTTGTGATTTTTCTCCATTAGATCAGAAGCCTGTAATTTAAATATGTCCAAGTGCTCTGGGAACATTTGTGGCTTAATTATGAAATTTATTTAAAATATACAAATAACACTCTAAACTCAAAAACAACATTTAGTGTGGCTGCGGGAGAGACATTTAATGCACTCCAGTTCCTCAAAGAAGAGTGCAGACCTCCCAATTCCTGGCTCTTCCTTTTTTTTGCGTGATGGAGGGCTGGCTCCTTCTTATGCTATTCCCTTATTCCAGTTCCGTCATTGCCTGAGCAAGGAGCTGGTGAGCAAGCCTCCAGTAACTTCAGCAAGGATCTAGGGAGTTCACAGTAACCTTAGGATTGCCAAACAAAAATGGCCTTGGAAGCTGGAACAACAATAAAAGCCCAGACACAGAGTAGGGCCTTACTGCCATCTTCCTCCTCCATGGAATGGGCATAATAATCTATCTCCAAGAACAGACTGCTGGGCATCCCAAGCCATATCTCTTATTTAGCCCATCTCAAACCCTGTGTGTTCCAGCTCCCCCAAGTAATGGTGGGTCATCTTCTCTGCTCTATGCCCGAGGACCCAGAGGTGCAGGGTAGCAGTTTCCTCTGAATTGAGATATTCCATCTGAAGAGAAGCTCCTTAGGACTCAAGAAATTCTAAAGAGAGGCCCCTTAAGACTCAGGAAGTCCCTGAGACTTACCAGATGCACATGGTCCCTCCCTCCCTAAGATTACATAAGCAATAAGGACTGCTGAGGGGTGGAGCCTTGCCAACCTTTCCAGCTGTTTACAGGTGGTGCAGAGCAGTGTTCCAGGGTCCATCTTCCCAATGCCACCAGGGATCATTACTACTCATGAGGTTTGGATCCTTCGTGTCCTCCAACAGTTCATTTGTGAACAGCTCGGTCCCCACCTGATGGTGCTTTTCAGACAGTGGTTCTCAACCTTCTTAATGTTGCAGCCCTTTAATACAATTCCTTGTGTTGTGGTGACCCCCAACCATAAAATTACTCTTATTGCTACTTCATAACTGTAATTTTTCTACTGTTATGATTTGTAATATAAATATACAATATGCAGGATCTCTAATATGCGGCCCCTGTGAAAGGGGTCATGATCCACAGGTTGAGAACCACTGTGTGAGGAACTAATGAAAATTTTAGGTGGTGGGTACTTCTTTTTGGAGAAAGCAGATTTTTAGGAGTGTATCTTTGAAGGTCATATTGGGACCCTAGTTGCTCATCCTTTGTCTTTGCTTCCCAGCTGTCAGGAGGTGAACAGCTTTGCTCCACTATAGGCTCCTGCCATGACATTCTGCCTTAGCACAGACCCAGAGTGACAGGGCCAAATGACCATGATCTGAAACATCTAAAGCTACCAGGAAATGCATACCTCATACTCATATACCCTTTCTCCTTTAAAGTTGATTTTTCTCAGGTATTTTGTCACAGAGAGATATAGCTGCCTAATGCACTCCTTTGAGCCTTTGGAAGATAAAAAGGTCTTGTCCGGTCTTTCTTTCCCATGTGCATTAGTTACTCTTCTCATAGCCGTGAAACAATATCTGACGAAAGCAACCTAAGGAAGGAAGGGTTGGCTTTGACTTCCAGTTTGAGGGTACAGTCCATCAGAAAGGGTGAGATACGCTGGCCGGAACACGAAGCAGCTGGTCACATCGCCTGCATTATCAGGAAGCGGAGAGAGGTGGGTGCCGATACTCAGATTTTCCCTTTTTGTTCAGTCCTAGAGCCCAGTCGGTGGAAGAGTGCTGCCCACAGTTGGGTGGGTCTCTCCACCTCAGTTAACTCAGTCTAGAAACTCCCTCATAGTCATGCCCAGAGATTTGTCTCCTAGGCGATTCTAAATCCTGTCAAGTAGACATTGAGAGCTAACTACCATGGCGTGGGGAGATACTCAGCCAGTAAAGGGCTGGCTTTGCAACCGTGAGGGCCTGAGCTTGGATCCCTAGTAAAGTTTATTGGCATGGTGTGAACTTTTAACTCCAGTGCTGGTGAGATGGAGGGCAGAGACATGCAGATCTGAGGAGCTCACTGGCCAGCTGGCCTAGTCTGCTTGGCAAAGTTCCAAGCCAATGAAAGACCATGTCTTAAACAAAAGAAGAAAATGCCTGGGGAGCAACATCGAACCAAGCTTGCCTTTTGACCTCCATATCTGCACGCATATCTGAACACACACACACACACACACACACACACACACACACACACACACACACGTAAATGTTGATGTCATAGCCCCTGCCCTGTTAGGAAGATGGAGAAGTACATTGCATTTTGGGGCCTTGGGGAGCTTACCATTGGCAGGGAGAAGAAAAATGAAGATATAAACCCTACTATTGTAAGCGAGTGTTGCAACTCTGGGGGAAAGGTGTTCTGACTGTTTGGGGAGTCAGATGACACCTGGAGCTGCTAGGACAGCTCTGGCAGGTGGAGCTGCAATGGGGCAGCTCAGTTCTAGAGGGCAAGGTATCCTGACTGCTAGGAGTCAGGCTATATCTGGAGTTGGGGTGTGGTGGGCGATGGTCTCCCCGCAGGATGTAGCAATCCTGCTCCTCTTCTGGAGAGTCACTACAGCTGAGCTTTGCTCAATGCCCCCCCCCCAAGGGGGCCTTCCAAGCAGAGCTCTGCTTCTTCTCCGGCCCAAGATGTTGCTTCTTTTACTTCACTCTGCTAAAGGGAAAGATGTAGCACGAATCTTAAAAGGTCTTATTAATAAAAACAAACCTGGAGCCAGGTATTGGGGTGAAAGCAGAGAAGCAGAACAAGCCACAGCTTCCTCACCTCTCCAATTCTTCAGCTGATCCTGTTTCCTCAGACTAGAAGTCTCTGAGTTCTCATCCAAATGGATCTCAGCTGAACTGCTGCTAAAAGCCGAAAAGCTTAACTAGGCAAGTTCCTCATCCTCATGCCTTAAATACCTTTCTGCTTCCTGCCATCATTTCCTGGGATTAAAGGCTCTTGTTACCATGCCTGGCTGTTTCCAGTGTTGCTTTGAACTCATGGATTCATTTCAGATGGATCTCGGCCTCTGGAATGCTAGGATTAAAGGCTTGTGTGCCACCATTTCCTGGCCTCTATATGTAGTAGCTGTTCTGTTCTCTGACTCCAGATAAGTTTATTAGGGTGCACAATATTTTGGGGAACACAATATCACCACAGGAACCCCTGCAGAAATGTAGCAATCTCCTTACTTTTTCTACTCGGCCTTGCTCAGTCCCCTAAGGGATGTCTCAGCAAGATTTTTTTTTTTTTCTCAGTCCACTAAGGGATGTCTTGACAAGGTTCTTTTTCTCTGTATTGGTACATGAAGATCTTCACACCCAAGACTCTTTTGAGAAAGAGATTTATTTGGGAAGGAGGAGTCCAGAAGAATGGCTGTCTCTGCCAGGGTGGGAAAGAACAGCCCACAACTGAACAGGCAGGGTGGTTTATATAGGATTTCTTAGGGGAGGAGTTTCTCCAGGGAGAAGATTTTCTGTCCAGGGATTGGTTTATGGTTCCCCCCCCCAGGGATTGGTTAGTTTCATGGGTTAGGGGCAGAGATGGCCCTGAATTCAGAGCCAAACTGTGTTTCTTTCACTGGCCTTTCTTAGCTTTTTGGCTCTAATTCTAAGGCCAGGGCATATTTTTTTCACTGGCTCTGATTCTAGAGGCAAAGTGTGTTTCTTTAGCACTCATTTCAGAGTCAGGGCATGTTTCTTTGGTTCTGGGTTCAGGGATAAAGTGTTTCTTTCTCTGGCTCAGGTCCCAGATCTAGGCTGTGTTTCTTTCACTGGTCTGGGCTCCAGAGTCAGGGTGGGTTTCTTTAGCTGGCCCCTTTTGCCTACAACTATGTGTATAGTCATGAGATTATGTTATGAAATGCAGAAATACAATTCAGATTTCAGATCATGCTAAGTAGGCCTGGGGACAGAGCTCGTGAGAGAATGCTCTGTTGTGTGCACAAGGCCCTGCGTTCCATCCCCAGCACTGCAAACAACAACAGCAACAACAAAAGCAAACACCGAAAGTCAGGAAGTGGACGTTTATTATTGAACCATGACAGAAAAGCCCAGCGGTTGTTTTGGCTTCTCACAAGTCTGAAGCTATGTGTTCAAATGGTGTTGACATATCTCAGCTACTGTAACATCTACTTGCCTTTGAACTGACATGATTTCTAGGTAGATTCTTCTATGGTGGCCCTGACACCTCTGTGTTTGCTTAGCATCTCAAATGAAAACAGAGGACCTGTTTCCCAAGAGTTCTATCAAAACCCCATTGCCTTGCCATAAGCAGCAGACATACCACAGTGGTTCTGATGCTGTGACTGACTGAGACTGCACATGTGGAT